AGATGGAGCAGTCAGGCATGGTGGGTCTTAACCAGCAGAGACATACACCTCCCCATAGATGGAGCATGGTGGGTCTTAACCAACATGCAAACTGAAAGCCATAAAGCTACATTCTTCAGAATGTGCCCATTGCTTTTCTCTTTGGTTATTTTATTAAATTTACAGGCATGATTGGAGCAGAAACTCATCAAATGTAAACGAATAAAAGAGTTCAGGTTCAGATAAAATCATTTTATGTGAAAAGGTCTCGTAAGGTTCACTCAGTTTTGCTTTGGCCGTGTGAGGTCCACAGACTTTACACTCAGTCACTCTCGCCGGATTCCTCTGCAGAACAAAATGAGATGTCCCCTCAGCTATGTCACAGAATTATGTATGGATTATGTGGAGATTATATTACTGCACCTATATTGTGACCTTTTCGGTCCAGTAACCCGTAAGGATGCAGAGTATTTGTAACATCAAAACACTTTCAAGCCTTGGTATTCGTAAGGGGTTTGGGATTTTGGAAAAAGTGATGTCACACTAGACACATTAGCTACTGATGTTCGTGTACCCCAATTAGAAAACAGAGTGAATTATTCATAACTTCCCAAAGACACCAATCTTGAAAGACGTCCTTTTTACTTTGGACGTTCAGATGACGCTCTTTTTTCCACTAACTGTCAGGTTTTCTAAAAACACCCTCGGGCTACCTGGCTTTTGGGTCCTCCAATTACATGGTCTGTACTGCTGTGGATTACAGCCAAGGCCTTTTAATGAGAGGGCTGCTTACTAGTTAAACCCAGACAGAAAAGTCAGCAGGCTAGCGGATACCATTAAGCCACTGAGCTTAAGTCCCAAATGATAATGATTGTGGTGACCGGTGCCATGTGACCACTGGAGAATTGGACAGAGGGCCACGGCGGGACTGAAGGCCCCCATGGCCACACTAATGAAGCCTCAAAGAGGATGATTCTGCTCTTTTTTCTCAATACCCACCATTGACTGAGAAGATGAAGCTACTCATTAGTCCATTGTTGCAAAACAAGGATAAACATGCAGTTTATCCAGGAGAGTCTCAGATGTATGTTTTCTGCCCATTTTTGGATATATGAGGTATGGATCTAGTAAATATCTTTCTTTGTCTCCCCAGGAGTGGTGGAATGACCTCAAAATAAACAGCCTGTCATATAAATCAGTAACCCTCTGTGCAGTGTGCAGATATAAAAAAAGCATTCAGAACATTTATGAGGTCAATACAGGTGTAAGAAAGCAGGCATGTTCTGGAAGCTTTGCAAATTCAATCTCCTGGAGATACGCAAACGACACCTTGCACAGCTGAAGCACCTCTTCACTACTGCACTACTGATTTGTTCACCATATTAATACTACAGTGTTCCAGTTATTCTCTGGAATTAATCGCTGGAACTAAGAAGAAATATTCCAGTCATCACTTTCCAGGATGTGGTTTCCAGAAACCCTGAAATCTACAGAACGAACAAAAAGAAACACACAAACTCAACAAAATCAAATTAATGGTTTCTTCTGATTTTGGACACACTGATGCACAACCTCTTTTTTATAATTTTATTCATTTACATTTGATGAGTTTCTGCTCCAATCATGCCTGTAAATATCATAAAATAACCAAAAGTCCTTCAGCCTTGATGCCTGCGTTTGAGGACATGAAGGAAACCAAATGCCACTTTACTCATGATTGGAGCCAATGTGACCACAGGGAAAGGGGGTCTTAAAAAAGATCCACCCCCTAGGTCAGTGTTTCTCAACCCAGTCCACAGGGACCCCCCCAGATGGTCCGCATTGTTGCTCCCTCCCAGCTTCCTGCCAGACAGTTGACATTTTTGCTCCCTCCCAGCTTCCTACCAGACAGTTGACATTTTTGCTCCCTACCAGGAGCTGGGAGGGAGCAAAAACGTGGACTGTCTGGGGGCTCCCGAGGACCGGGTTGGGAAACACTGCCCTAGATACTTTGTTCTGTGGTCCAGAAGCTATTGGCCTGAGCTGCAAGGCCTGGCCTGCGATTTTGGAGGCGCTGACAGAGCAGGAGGATGGATCTTGGTGCGCTGAAAACCCACAAAAAAACACACTGCATGGAAGCTTTATTCAAACGCACATGGCAGAGGGGCAGCGGCCAGCTGGCACTGTCAGATGGCGGCTGGAGATGCGGCTCCTTTTTCAGGCAGATGGAATTCTGTCCACCGTTAATCCTAACAGGGCGTAATAGAGGCAAACAAACGGGCTGCTGTGAGACGTACCTTGGCAGGTCCTGCCATCTCCCTTCAGTCGCTGACCGGCGGGGCACTTGCAGTAGAAGCTGCCGATGGTGTTGCAACACTGGGCCTCGCAGCCACCGCGGGCCTCCTCGCATTCATTAACATCTGTGTTTGGGGGGAGCGAGAGGGGGCTTAACAACCACTCAGTCACCTGGTCAGCTGCACACCAGAGGGCCAATGACACGGCAAGCAGGCATCGGTGACACCATTTTGGGGCCAAATCATCCACATGCAAAATGTTCAAGCAAATGTGAACTATGTCGTGGCCATAGCCTCTGGGATAGGCTCCGGACCCTCTGTCACCCTGAATAGGACAACTGGTTACAGAAAATGGATGGATGGATGGATGAATGAAAGATGTGAACTATAGAGAAATTATAGAATACTGAAATATGAGTACCTACAGTACACTGACAAGGACATGCTGTAATGCAGGGGTACTCAACAGCATCCAGACAGAAGCCCAGTTTAATCTGGACCAATCAATCATTATTACAAGAGACCCCCTGGACCTTGGCTTTCTGTTGCTGAAGGAGTTTGGACTGAACTTCTGTTCTTACAGATACATAAACATTCCAAGAGTAGGTAAAATTTAGGCTTGATGTCTCCAATGTCCCATTCTAAACTAACACTTTTTGTATGAATAATTACTTCAGGGGCTATTGAAACCAGACACTATATATATTAAGAATAATGACAATATTTTAAATCCAACTTAATCCAGGCTATTATAAATCAACGCAGAGACGTTTAATGGAAAAGTAGACAGACTATTGCTGAAACATGATAGTTGTCCAGAAATCACCAGTGCTTAGCATGTGCCGTTTTCATGAAAGTATCTGGTCACATTCTGAGGGAAACTTGACGACAATTCTGCACCAAATCACTGAAGAATAAGCGGAAAGCACTGATCACTATACAAAGAAACCCATAAGTTATTTCTAGCCTCAGGAAGGGCATTCTTCTGTCAAAGCACCAAGTTCACCACCTCTGGCTTTGGTTGGAGAAATCAGCAGAAGCGTATTGGGAGACCCTTCAGAAGGGCTCTGTGCAAACTCAACATGAAAAAATACACACGTCTGCAAAACTGTCTTTACCCCGGGTTCTGTAATCAAACCAGGAGCAGAAGTGGACCAGCCGCCTGTCCATCATCACACCATAAATTCCATGTTCAGGGTCTGAAATGAACGTGCGGTTATGAAAATGTGTTTGATTGTTCACTTGAGTTATGACGTTTCGACCATCAAAGCCAGAAAGGAGGGGGGTGGTTACGTAGTAGGGTGGGGGGGGGGGGGCATGGACAAAAGCTGCCTTGCATTCCTTTTTTGCAAGTACCTCCATATGATGGGGAGGGAACAGCATACCATGACCGTTGATTTGTGATATTTGTGTGATATATATATATATATAGTTTTTCTTTTGATTTACAGGCTCCGAGAATTGTTATATGTATTTTTTTGCAATATTCATCCAACACAATGTCCATATTTTCAGAAGTAAAGTAGAGCTGGAGAGTCAATGGAGAGTCAATGGAGAGTCAATGCACAAGTCAAAATGGCAGGCAGGGCATCTGTCACTGCTTGTGATGCCGTCCTTAAACGGGGCTGGCAGTGGTTTACTGGGACATCGTCCCCTATACACACATGGAGTAACCTCCCCAGCAAGACTTGGAACGTATGGCAGGTCCATCAAGCAAACGAGCCCCATCGCGGGGGTTCATGCACGGCCCACCAGCTCGTGGTGTCGGCTTAGAACAGAATGTACCACATGTGGAGGCCAAGGAATTCCAAAATAAACTCCAACTAGGCTTGAGGAGGAACCCGACCTTTGCGTGTTTAACCCCCAAAGTGGGGGCATGTTTCTGATCAGCGGAAGGTGGCCATGAACATCATATTCAAGTCCAGCACATTTAAGGGCTGTCATGGTTATTCGTTTTCAAAACGCCTTTTCTGTGGCTTTGCTCACACACGACTTCAGTCTGCTGCCAAGTCTGGATTTTTACTGTATTTCCACCAGGCAATTAATACTTCAGTAATGCCTCCCTTAACTGACACAAAGGAGGAATTTAAAAGTGAATCACATTAAAAACATGCCTAGCAATAAGTCTGCCTACAACTACAAGTAGTAGACTATGAACATAGTTCGAGATTGTCTACTAGGATCATGAAAATGATTTTGGGGCAAGTAGGAATAAGTCCAGAATGTTGAGTCTCAGTCAGAAAGCAATCGATTTACATGTCACTTAATCTGAAACCAGAAAAAGTACTGCTCATCACTCAGACACAGTACTGCTGTATTTCTCCAAAAACCGCGGGAGGTCATAGCACACAGAGAGGTTACTCTGATTTATATACTGAGAAAACGCATTACAACAGATAGTATGTGTTTTACAACAACTTATGTGCAAGGAAGTCAAACATAACTTATGTATGAAAAACTATGCTACAAAAATACATGATCCCCTACACGGGACCTACTTGGGGGACGTCAGTGTTGTCCGTGCAGGAGACCAGGGGCCTACTCATCATCCTAGACCAGGCTGCTCGTGTGATCTGAGAGTAAAAGCGGCCGGGGGCCACCTCTGCCCCCAAATTCCACTGGATCTTAGGGAATCAGCACCTGCCAGTTGGGTCACATCAGCCCTGACACCCACTGTACCCTCTGAGCTCAAACTGCCCTACGCACTGTACACTGCATACCTATATACACCATCACCTGTTTGTATAACAAACAAACAAACACCTTTATTTCTGCACATACTTTCAATTTCAAAAACGAAAATATGACGCCTTGGAAGATCCGTGTGGAAGGTTTTCATTCTGCTTTTTAATTGTTTATAACTGCAAATAAATTTCTGTCACCGTTGGGGGATTTTATTCAGTTTTGTGTGATTTTTATGTGAGATGTTGCTACCAAGAAAATTATAAACAGCTCAGAGTAATTTCCTTGTTCATTTTTTATGAGCGTGCTGCAGCTTTATAGTAGGTTTTATAAGGTTAAGGCTGTCTGGGTTTCACTTGGGGGTTAATGGCTTTGACTCCGGCGGCCTGTAGACTGATTCGTGGTGCCTCCGAGTTTCCGTCATCTATTCACAAGATGCCCTGTTGGGCTCACTATTGCCAGCAGGTCAGCTCTGAAATGTAGCCCACACACAAGGGCATGGGGTTCACTTAAGATTAAAGACTTAGAAAATCAAGGGAGAGCTTTTGTGAAATGTAAAATCACGAAACTGGAACACCACCAGAGGGCAGTATTATCAGCTAATATTTATATTTTAAACTACTGGTGAATGTCATTTTAAAATAATCTTTCCATAAATCTCTTTAAAAAATTTGTTGTACACCTACAAAAAAAAAAAGCAAACACATTGTTGCTTGTTGGCCTTTCTCTTGTCTTGGGTCGTGCTTTTTTTCCCGGCAACCCCTGAAATCAAGTGTGGGTCGCCCGACTGAAGAGAACGAGGCCCCACCCACGCCTGACTTCAGAGGTCATCACCTGGAAACCATCCTCTGGTTCGTGCCACAGCCGAGCTTCACGTGTCACTTCCTGTTCGAACCCATGCTTCTTTTAGCTGCCCCGGTATCCCAAGGCACGCCCCCTGGCCATGGGACCGGCAGCAAATGAAGCACCTTTTTAATGTTTAGTTAAACCTCTGCGGCTGATAGACAGTCACTCTTCAGTGGGATTCGATCTCCACCACGGGAGCGGTTTGCTATTACATGGGCTTTTTAAAACCACCTGGTTTCCATCAGTGCTCTATTACTGAAAGCGGCAGGCTACCAGAAAACATGAGTATTTAATCAAACGTGGAGCGATCCTGGCGAAAGATTACATAAGCGCAATCCCTAGGCATGCGCCATGTGAAAAAATAAATAAACATGAAGGCATGCAGTTCTCTGTGAGGCTGGGGGACCGGGGAGCTGAGTGCGCAGTGCTATGGCAGATGTTGGTAGCTGTTGGCAGGGGCCAAGCACCACGCACGCTGCTGGGGGCACGTGCTTCAGTGCCAGGGGGCTGATGATAAGCAGGCTGCCTCTTGCCCACTGGATGGGGCCTGATCCTTGGGTTAAACCACGCCGCTCACCTGAGGCCAGGGGGAAAAAAGCTTCAACAATGGGCTCCATTCACTGCAAATTAACTTTTTGGGCACGGCAAGCAGGATGAGTGCATTTTTTTTTCTAAATTCCTTCCTTTAAAATTGCTTTCATGAATACAGAGGTTTGTTTTAGGCCTGTAAAATAAAACCAGCCAAACTTTTGTGTCTGTTTCCTTGTGTTTTTGACTGAGGAGTACACCACAGGAAACTGCATTTGAACTGAGAAGAACTGGACAAGTTGTCTGCCTGGCAGTTCCACTTTAGCATGCTCAAAACCATCCATCTATCCACCTTCCAGAAAAATCTCCAGGTGAGGGCTAGTTGAGATATTCTCAAAGCATGCTTTTCTAAATTAATATTTAGCATTTAAAGTATGAGGGGTCAACTAATATGACACATAGGTCATCTAGGTCAGTCCAAGTCAGTTGCTGATTTCATAATGCATCATACTGGATTCAAGGTGTAATTATACATATTATCACATGGGGGGCGGTGAACTGTGGCCACAGTGTGGCTCACTCAAATCCCAGCCTCATTAGCATAAAAATCACACCCAGCACCCACAGAAGCTGGCAGCTCGAGGTGTAGAACTGACAGCATCATTTACTTGTAAATAAATGGTTGTAAAACACAATGTGCGAGGGGGTGTAGGCCCAGCCGTGGGGATCCGAGCGATTCTTCTGGGATGCAGACACATCAGCACCTTGATCTCAGGTGACTGTGATCTTACGTGTCCCTCAGCTAATATACATTAACCAGTTTATTGGAAAAAAAAACAAAACAGTATTTAGTTTAGACCAGTCAAACCACTTAATTTAAGAATGACTTTTACACAGGTGAAAATAATGTTCCCAGCAAACCGTTTCACTTAACGTGATTTTATTTGTCCCTCTTATTCCCAGGTGGGACCAAAGGCAGCATATGCAATACGCCATGGGGACCTGCAGAGTGAAACTGAAAATGAACTTTAATTATAGTAACTGCTACTGGCCTCTCCACAGGACACCGTCTGACCGGCCAGAGTAGAAGCTTCTTTCACGCTGATTTTCTGCTCCTGGAACGTGTTTGTCCACCTTTCAAACTCCAGGGGGAGTCAAAGACCACTCTGAAAGCCTCATTTTTCCATCACACGTCAAAGATCATTACAGATGATTATGAAGCGTGAAGGATCATATCAAAAGAACATAAATAAATATGTCCTTTTACAATTATGCATGTTACAGAAAGGACTGAAGCCACAAAACCTAAGGCGGGTAACACAAAAGGGGGCTGGTAACTAGCCTATGGTTCTAAACCCTAGTTATGGGGGGGCTTTGGCCCCCTTATTTTTGCCTCATCTTCCCAAAAAAATAATTTTTCTAAAACCTTTCAGCGATTTGCCCTGTATTTCGGTATACATCTCATATTCCCTGCTTGGCAAAGCTTATCATGGGCAACCCAGAGGGTATTTCATGAGGGGGCAGAGCCCCCCAAGGGTCCAATCCGAGAAACACCCCAGCTTAAACCCTCCCTTCACAACCAGCCATTGGCGTATGCCCCCTGAGCTCGCCGGGACGCAGTGCACTCTCTGCCTCATGCGAATGTGCGATGAAACCCTGGGGGTGTTTCTAGGGGGGGTGATGGCAGGGCAGCTCATGGTAGGGATGATCTGCGAGTGGCCTGGAGCAGGCTCCGGAATGTTCCTCGGGAATCAAAATCTGTTCTGCAGATAAAAGCACATCCTGTGCCCCCCCCCCTCCCCCAGCACAACCTAAAGCCCCTGGAATGAGAAACACAGGCAGGGTCCATGTGGAGGGGGGGGGGGGGCAGGCAGTGCTCTGTTACAGGAAAACAATATAACAGATACATTCTGCATCTGTGTAAAGAATTATTGACCTTCTCAGTAAAGCTTGAGACATGACACTCGCAATCAATAAAACGTCATTCTGAGTTACTCTGGATTTGAATAAAAATATGAACTAGATTCCATGTAATATAGGTCAGTCTCCTATACTACATAATTAACTGTATATTCCTATAGACTTTTTTCTAGCTAGTTTTCTTTAAACTGAATCTGATGTATTTGAAGAAATGTTCATAATGACTATGAAAAACAGCCGCTGTCTACTTATTTGCCTCAGTGGTGAAATATAACATTTAAAGATGCAGAATCCTGATCTAAAGCAAAAACCCACATCATACAGATCAGGAAGACTGATATTAACTCGGTTTATAGGCTGATACAGTTTATACAATAAGAGGCACACATGAATCAGCTGGATCGAAATTCCGACTGACTCAAAATAGTGGCCTTGATCTTAAGAGCATCCATCCATGGATGGTCAGCAACCACTGGTCCTAGTCAGGGTCCTGGAGCCTATCCTGGTGACTATCGGTGCAAGGCAGGGCACACTCAGACACCATTCACACCTATGGGCAATTTATTAACTCCAATTAACCTAAGCATGTCTTTGGACTGTGGAGAGAAACTAGAATACCCAGAGGAAACCTCACAACGACGCAGGGAGAACATGCAAACTCCACAGACATGGAGCCATGATGGAGACTCAAACCCAGGTCTCAGACACATGAGGCAACAAGGGTAAGCACTGCACCACCATACTGCCCCGTCTAGAAAAAAAAAAGGCACTTTTCATCAGAATTACAGGGGGCCATTCTATTAGACTAATATGGTTGACCCAGAGTGATCTCTTTGTGGTTTAAAATCATAGTGCCCCGAAGTGTATGGGGACCTGCTGTTATTGTGCCCATCTGCAGTCTGGGCACTGGTGAAGTTACCCATGACGGTAGCGATCTGCTCCCCCCACCCTCTGATGGACGGAAGGGCCAACGCAGCCCTGGCCAAAGACACACGAACTTTTGGTGGAGCTACCGATCATTATAGCACACACCTGTGCTGCCAGATCGTGGCAGAGATCCAGCGGGATGCAGGGTGGAGCAAATCTGCCTGTAAGTGAAACCCAAGATTACAGGACTGAACTTAAAATTTCAATATTCCCCACTGCCGCTTTGTCACTTATGGCAAAGAGACGCAACACACAAAAACAAAACTACATCTAAATGCAAATAATTGACTCACTTAACCAGACCTTGTATCTAAAATAAGTTACATTTAATCATTTTATATACAGCTGTTTTTCTACTGAGGGAATTCAGGCAAAGCTGCTTAGTCATGTTAAGAGTAAAATCCCCCCAGGACACAAATCACCAACTGCGTGATCACAAGTCCAGAGCTCAGGCACTTGCCTACCCACTCCTATGAAATTACATTCCCCAACATCCTCCTTCTTCACTTCAGGTAGGAACCCAAAATAGAACCACTACCCCATGCCAAATCCCCGGAGTCCTACTTAGACAAGCTAGCGAGTTACAGGAACCAATGAACTAACGGTATGCCCCCCCCCCCCCCCAAGGATCATGGTAACCCCATTATACCACAAGCAAAGCACGCAAAAGCCAGAGTGAAAAAAAACTGATGCGACCTCACCTTGAATCATCCGGACTGCCCCTCCCCATTGGACACCTCCCTCGAACCCATGCTCTGTCGCTGGCTACTGTTGCGGCCTTTGGCACACCACGCCGAGGGCTCAGAATAACACAGAAGACAGGAAAATAAATAAGCAAAGACGTGGGGGGAGCCTTTGAAGGAGGCAGGGAACCCAAACCTGATGAAAAAGAGCTGTGTCAAGAGGCAAAGTCTGGATCCAGCAGCCCAGATGAGCGATCACCCAGATTGGAGGGGAAAGGGGGGATGAAACATCTCAGCTGTGGATGAAAGAAGAAGCACTGAAGGTAAAGAGTGACAGACACTCAAAACACTAGTTAGGAAATAACTTGAGAAATCAAGATATCAGCCATAGTCTCACCAGTGCTGACTATGGCTGTACCTATAAACCACTAAATAAATTAATTCAATGCGTATGAATGTCATAAAACAGGCAATTAAATACAACCAGACAACATAAAGCTAGAAATACACTGGCAGGTAATAATTCCACATAAACAGAATCATCGACTCAATGCCTCAGCCTAAATTCCAGAGATATGGGCCCCACTAAGGACGACAAAGACAGTATTAGGGAAGAAGTGTGCATTATTGTTACTTCCTGGGCAGAATATAGACCTGATCCACCAATCAAGAATTTCCTCTCTAGTCTCTGAAAATGTTCATTTCTTTGTGTAACTCCCTGCAGCTCTGCAACATGCAATAAAATGGACGATAGTAGCATAGTTGGGATAGTTTACAAAATACAATAAAATACAATAAAAACATGTCCATCTCAGGACAAACACTTAAGCAACAACCTATAAGTATTTTTTGTCCAGCGTTGCAGTAAACTATATAGCCTATTTCACTCATGCACCATCCCTACTGCGAACATCAAGGTGACGAGCGTTGACAGCCAATCACCGTATCAACTGTGCGACCTGATCTTATCTGTCTGCTAAATCTTTGCTGCCCGACTCCAATAAATCCATCCACACTCCACTCTGCTCGTCGGCAGAACATCAGGTCCACTTCCCAGCATCAAACTTATCAGTCTTTGCTGTCAGTAGTGAGACCCCCAATGTCACTCCCTGAAAATACAATCAGACGCCGCACTCTCTCGAACCTTGAAATGCCCTCCCGAGCTTTCACTCAAAATTCACTTTGAACAAGAAATGGACTCAATTTACTTTCCTCAGACAGACTGGCAACATTTTGAAATTGAAATATGATTCCCTGAGTTGACAGAAATGGCAAGTTTTCATCAGGCGTTCACCCAAAGTCAGCATGAGTTCAACCGGGTCCTCAAATGTGATTCTGATGCTAAATCCTCTCTGCGACACTCTATAAAACAATCTGATGTACGAAGGTCATTTAGAGGACAACTCTCCACTCCAGGCTTTCACTGTCACTCAGATCCTTCTGGTACCTTCTGGTACCTCATTTCACTCATCAATCCAGCTATGTTCAGTAAATATCTATCCAATCAGAATACACTCTTATTCCCAAGAGCAAAATATGTGAGTGCAGTACAGACAACTAGAGGCAGGTGTCTAACTTAAACTGAGAAACCATGAAAATTCTTCTAAAATCAACATGTCGAATGGCTGATGTTACTGTATCTGATAAACTGGACGCCTGATGAAGTCCTGGACTGGAACCGAAATTTTTACGTGTTAGTGGAAGATAACGTGATAAACATTCGGTCTTGAGGGTAATGAGCATCTGAACATCTTTAATTTCGTATTTTCATGATGTTTTACAAAAAAATGTAATCACTTATAAGAACTGGAAAGTGCAGTTTCAAAGCAAAGAAAGGTCATGACCTGCTGCTATGAGAAGGTTCCAGGGACGTGACCCAGTATCTAAAACTCGTCAGCAGTTCAGGCTCGTGAGAAGATAACCAACGTTCATGTGAAATGTACCGAGGCCACCCCCCCAGCATTTTCCCTAAATTTACCCTAGGCCATGCCCCTCCCTAACTCTATGCAAGGCACTGCTCCCAACTTGGAGGCTGAGAGGAAGTGATGTCACCCCCAAGCCGTCCTAAGAAATATTATAATTCTTAGACTTGAAATAAGCCCATGAAAGACTCTGAAAAATAGATAAATGAACACAACAGGAGGGTGGGGTTTAGTGCTCAAGACTCAAGAAATACACAGATTTTAAAATACAGCTTTATGTGAAATTGGACTCAAAATATTACTAAAATATGAATATGTAAAATTATATGAAATAATGTGGCATAATATCAATTAGCATACTTTGTAAAGCAGGAACATTATCTTTGCGTTTGATGGCCAAAAGATTTTCATTTATATTTACATGTGATGATTTTACCTATACACAAAAATGTGCCATTAGTTGTTATTTCCAAACACACATCTTGCCAAATTCTCATCATTCCGAAAAATGGGGAGTTGAAATATCCAGTCTTGCTTAAGAATTAATTTGAGATGTGTTTAGAGTCAGCCAAGAGACTAAACATGTTCAACAGATAAGTGCGATGATTTACTATTTCTTACTTGAAATGAGTGCAAAAAGAAAAAAAGTCTATTCCGCCAAATATTTGGTGTGAAAGAGGTCAGATTAAATCTATTGAAATTCTTCACATAACTGCCCCCAAACAGTTGTCCTGTTTTATGAAGATGTTAAATCTGAACAGAAATCTGATCATAACACTAACCAATTAGTAACTGTCAATTGTCTTGAGAGAATACAATAAATATTCATTCATATTTTTCTGAGAAAAACAAATGGTGACGCTTTTGGCTGCATCGGCCTTAATCGGTCAACTTGAATGTTTGAACATACCTCAGGATGAAATATGGACAGTTCCTAAGAAGCGCAAATTAATCTTGTGAATGGAAAGCATTCATCCTGTTTGAATCTCCCACTGGAATCTGCTGCACCTAATCAAAGCCGTTTCTCCACGCAGGTCACAGAAGCGAAATACCCAACATGAGACAGGAAGGAGCCACATTCATTTGATTCACAATAACTCCAACCAACAAAAAAGAAACAAGTAATAATAATAAAAAAAAGTTTCACTACTTTAAGAACAATATAACTGGATGACAATGGCTGTATATTTTAGATACAAGTAGATACAATTTAATCTTGCGGGTTACTGGAAGCTACCAGTTATACATGGCCACCTCAGCACTCCAAGTCAAACGGTGTACTGTCTCAGTTCTCCCCTTCCCAGTCTGTAGTGGGAACCATTCAGCTGGGGTTTGAGATTTGGCCTGTACTAAAGGGCAAGATTCTTTCTGAAAAGTGGGGACAATAATTGCCTGCTTCCATTGTAAAATGAATTAAATGCATCAAACATCACATGAAAGAGCTGACTGACAAGCTGCCTGTTTAAAAAGGGGGTCAGAGAACAGGGAGATGGTGCTACAAATGAAAACAATACATCCATCCATCCATCCATCCATGCTCCAGGAAAAATTCACAGATGTGTTATTACACAAAATAAATGTGACACAGCAGTAAGTGGAGAAGGACATGCACAGTCCCTCAGAAGGTGACCTCAGACCACTCTGCCTGATGGTAGAACTTTGGAGCCTTGGATATGATTCACTGTCACACAAGGACCCCTCATCTTCCCCTATTGGCTGAAACTCGATTACAATCTAATTATCACAGTCATATACATTGTGAGGATTGCTTTGTTTGAATATGTCACAGGAATGTATCCCTAAAAGTGGAAAAAAGCACCGTGATAAATTGAAAAGTTTGTCATGTCATTTAAATGTTATGGCTTGTCACTTGATATCAAATTCCTGGATGTTTTTTTTTTCTTCTAACAATAATGGACAGATTAACATAACAGCTAATTTGTGGTCTGTTTTCATTGCCAGTACAGCAGCAATGACTCCAAAGCATGACAGACCTTTGAACCTAAAGCATGTTGGAACAACAAGGATATTCCAGACATACATTCTCAATTTAACATGCAACACTTTGGGAGTCGGTCCCCAGGAGTGACAGAGAGCAGAATCAGGTGCCACAGGGGCTTGTCAGTGAGGATCACGGTTCATTATGTGTTACGGTTAAACCAGACAGGATTGCGCTGGGCAAACAAAAACCAAATAAAGATGCAGAAACAAGGTGCTGGAAAAAACAGGGAAAAACAAACATGAAACTGATGCCTCACAAATGCTGACCTCCCAGGTGGCTCATTTATCATTCTTGTCAAGACTTTAAGGCAGACATGAAGTTATTTCCCAGAATTCCTTTGATCAGACATCATGCCCAAGGACATCAAAAACCGATGGCACAAAAGCAAGATTTCAGCAAGAAGGACAGTGCTCAGTGTAAAGTGCTGGGGACAAGACAGGAGAAAATGTCACATTCTAATGCTACTATTCCACAAGATACAGAGTGATTCAAAATAAACATATAATTAGTTTAAACCACCAAAGATAGCGATAATCCACATTACAGCCAATGCTTCACCGTCACTCCGGACAGCTTCTGAAAAGTCAGAAATCTTGGTGTTCTCTGTTTCTAAACTTCTAAACTCCAGAATCCGTCCCACTTTTCTAGAATGGGCTCAGATCTCCTCCCTTTAGAGTGCATGCTATCCCTAAACCTCTGGATCCATCCCAGATGCATGGGAGAGGCCAGAGATGGCAGCAGAGCATTGAATGAACTAAACTTCAAGATTCAGAATTCAAGGTTTATTGTCATTCTGAAAACATGGGATAGCATGAATGTCCTGTAAAAAAGCACTATAATCTAAAAACAGGCATTGAGTCCAATAAAAACATACAATACATAAAAACCATAAATAGCACAATTAAAAGTATGGATATGTATTAATGTAAAGCAGATTCACTCCAAAGACAGAGAGCCTGTTTCCCCCTGAAGAAAAGACAGTGCAGTTAAGTTAAGTAGCATTTCCCCTAACAATGACATCCCCATCCTAACCACAAGGCACAGCAGGTGTGTGAAACTGGCATCCCGCCAGGACTCATTATACCAGAGCAAATCACTGATGTACCCATGGACCCGGTCCAGTCATACGTTTTTGAAGTGTCACTTGTCTGAGATGCACAATAGGAAAACAAGAACAGAGGGAGCTTGTTGAAAGTAATATTTGGCCGGCTGAGCATGAGAGGTTTGGTCATTACCAGCTGACGGCGACACTCGAGAGGATAATTGTGGTAAAACGCTCTGTATCAATCTCTTTGCAGTGGCTTAATACTGTTCATGTTTTCCAAGATATGACAGAGGAAAAAAACTGCAGTTATTAACCTGGTGAATACTCTACATTTTCATAAGATTATCACTGAAAAAATACAGACTGCCGTTATAGATTAGATATTAAAAATAGCAGACTACTGTACGAACGTCCCCCAGGAATATGTAAAGTACAAACAAACCAGTGAAACTTAATAAATAAATAAGATTAATTCGTATGTAACAAACAGCTACGACATAAAACACCTTTGCTTTGTTATTATTGGTATGCAGTGTGATAAGCTACTGCAAATATCTCCTTCCCATGTTTTTTTCAATGCTTTCAGTCCTGTATGACCTACTGTACCACACTGCAGAACTCCCATAGACCAGGATTGCAGATTATGAACAGATATCTGCATAACCCATTCTCCGTTTAACAAAAAAATCAGTCCCATGTCCCATAAATATCAAAGCATCTGCTTCTTTGTGTCCTAGGAACCTAGTCAGAAAAGAAAAATCGGACTGAAATCAATTTTCTATTATTGCCAAGTTATGACAATGAAGTGTTCTTAAAAATATATAATGAACACTGTGACAACAATATTAGTCATACACCCCTAAATGCCATACAGGTCAGTTCAGCTCTGATGTGTGGCGGCATTAGTGTACTACAACGCATATCTACATCACTGATGCCTCATTCCTTCCAGCTGGGACAGTTTCCTTTCAGGACAAGAATACTCTGACCCAAAGAGCTCCCGTTGTCGTCATCTGACCACTGCTGTCACCGACCACCCCCCCTCCCATCCTCTGTCACATATCATAACACTACCAGCAAGACGTTTACTTAATCTGTCTCTCTCAGTGTCTCTCCCGTTCGCCTGACGTGACTTTGCCAGCATCTTAAGCACCACGGACATCTCCCTCCAACCCCACTATGCAGCCACCTCTGCTGGGAGTCTCATAAATGTAGCGCAACCTTTTCTGTCAGTAAGGAAGGTGTTTGTCACCATTAAACAAAAGGACCACCAATAACTAGAACAACAGTGCGTCCAACAATCTCTAGCTGGAAACACATGGTGCCAAGATCCAAGAAATCCTTGGGGCAAACTGTCAAACAGTGAAGAATGTCTCCCTCCCCAGACCCAACCACAAAAGTACACAGAATGTGCCCCCAGTGGTCTCTAATCTGATTAAATCCATGTGCTGAGTGCAGCACCCTGTTTGCCCTGAAGACACAACCTCCCCAAGAAGTTACACATCCTGCAGTCATTTCAACAGGCTGATTTCAGTCATGACATTAGACTTACTGAGGAAGTACTATGTTCTGTCAACAAAGCGTGTGACATCTGAACTTTGACCTCTCGAAGCGCCCATCTTTACTTCCTTAACCGGTTTTCCCCATTTCCAACTGACTGATCAGCTCAGGATGACTGTAATTCAGATACTGTCACCGGATTTGGCAGCAAGAAGCAGCAGGTTTAATAAGAAGCAGTGCAGGAACGTCTCCATGGACCAGAGAGCAAAGTCCAGAAGTGAGGTTGTGGAAAGTTACCTCAGACACTTAGGGGTGAAAGTTCTCCGTGGTTGGTAAAGCCTAAAAAAGTGTTCCTTTAAAAAAGTGTAAACTATTTTAACAGATCCTGATGAGAAACTGCTGAAGAATGTGGATAGTGATCATCTGGCTAAAGCCTGTGATTTACATCTGAAAACTAAATGTTTTTTCAAAAAATAAAGCCAAAGCCATCCATAACAATAAACTATATTCTGAAATCTGCAATCAAGGCAAAAACAAGATCAAATATGTTTCAGCCTTTATCTGGGTAAAACACTACTGCTGGGCCCAAACATGTTTGGAATATCCACTTGGGTCTACGTGGTAAAGCAGGCCAGACGCGGACTGTGAAACATCTCTTCTGCTAAAGATCTGCAGCTGGAGATGCCGACTCCACACAAACCATCATGTGATCTCCAATGACTTCAGAGGGGAGCAATCCCTTAGGGCTGTCTAGCTTAACAACATTGCTGTATTCTCACACTCCGTTATGTGGTACTGGGATGAGGACACAAACCCCACACTCTAAAGGAACAGCCCGATACTGGCTAGTTTACTGGCCGTCCCTAGTATCCAGGCCAGAGTACTCAAAAGAAGGGTTTATCAAAATGAATAAAAGAAAGGAAGGAGTAGTAGACACTAAGGCCCAGGCAGATAGCAATAGTGTTTTATTAAATATCATTAATAAAACATAGCAACTGCTAATGAACAGGTAAATAAATATAGACATTTTTAGGTCCACCATGTCTTGCCTGCCATGTCCACCTCACCCTCCTGTCTCCTCCCTGGTGTGGCCCTAACAAGCCATGTCTGTTACTCATTAGTCTTGCGTCTCGTGTTGATCACTCCCAGTTGCCTCTTGTTAGCTCCTTCGTTTGTTCCATGAACCCCAGTCCTGTGCACCCCAGTCCAATCACTGATGTCAACCCATCCTGTTTCCTTGGTTCCAGTCCTACCCACTTTTGACCCCTCGCGGTCTAGTTTGTTTCCGTTTTGTAAAATAAACCCCCTTTCTGAACACCTGCCTTCGAGTCCTCCATCCCATTTTGTTGTGAGGAAATGTCTTTATCCACAAAAGGCTGACAAAGAATCCATCCTGTATTCAGTGAGCCTGGACATAAATGGGATTAAAGACTCACAGATTGGAGCCCCCTGGTCATTGTGTCATTCAAAGTTTGCTTCAGAAAGAAAAACAAAGCAAGACAAAAGCCAAAGAGCTCAGGTGCCACTGCCATTTCCTAAACCGACTTAGATTTACAAGCAACTCGAAGCTTCAGACCCATTTGTATATTGACTAGAGAAGTTGGAGTCAGGTTCCTTGACTGACGGGACTATAACAGAGACCCTCCTGGAAGTTAAATCAGTAAAGCCTCAGAATACAAGCCATGCTATACTACTGTTCCTTTACTGGTCAAGCTTTTTAGATGGAGCTTCAGAGAGTTTGTACCCTTAGTGGTAAAGGCATGATTTATGGCTCAAAGATGGAACACTCATCCCTGAACATCTGCATGCATCTGCACTGCTGAGAATCCGTGCAATAACTGCACATCGTGTGGGTTTCTGCTGCTCTTTCATTCCACAATCTTCTCTCTTCTCTTGGGAAGAAACATTCCTGGTCACACCAGCCAGACAAACTTTTATTAGCAAAAAGGGAAATGGACTATGTACAGTAAATTATCATCAGATCAAGATTCCTCCTTTTATCCTGCTTAAAAAACACCATTGATCACATTCCAGGATTTTCATTACACTTGATTTTTTAAATAACGTTTTCATAACTGAATGACCAAAAAAAAACCTGATGAGAGATTATCAGAGAAAAAGCTCTGAGTTTTTGCTGTGGTCGGCTGCCTGCTTTGGCATTGATTCTCCACTGCTCTTGACCGAGACATTGCCTCATAATGCAGAAATAATTTCATCAACAGAACAGCTAAAACAATAACAGCTTAAGAGGGTTTTTTCAAAATGCCCAGTATGCCAGATGGCCAGTCCAGCCTTGGAGAGCAGCAGTGTTTCACTCACATGTAGCCAGTCACCTACTAAGAACAGGGGCCTGTATCACGTAGCAGGATTTCTTGCTTAGCCAGATAACTTGTCAGGTTTAAGGTAGTCTGGCCTAAATTTAAGTGAACAAAAATAAAGTCCATTTTAACTATGGTATCTTAAATCCGACAAGTTAGCCAGCACAGCAAGAAATCCTGCTTTGTGATACATGCCACTGGTCCCTAGTGGCATGTATCACAAAGTCACCTTTCATCCTCAATTATTTACACAAGGTCTTTCAACATGATAGGTCAATGTCTTTAAGTGCAAGTCAATAACGTCATACTGATAATGACTTAAGCTAGACTCAGCTTGGGCCTGTCATGTGAGCTGAGATGTAGCTTCTGCAGGTTTCCCAGTGTCCCCTCTGATAAACTAATCCCTCCATCCATCCATCTACCCATGTGTCCTATTTGGGGTCTGGAGCCTAAGAAATTTACAGATGAGAGGAGGCCATTCGGCCCATCAAGCTCGTTTGGGGAGAACTTAACTAATAGCTCAGAGTTATTAAAATCTTATCTAGCTCTGATTTAAAGGAACCCAGGGTTTTGCGCTACACTAGCAGGAAGATTAATTATTCCATACTCTAGCTACACGCTGTATAAAAATGTGCTTTCTCGAATTCATTTTTAAATGTTCTGCTAATCTCCACCTCCGCCTATCCCAGAAGCTATGGGTGCGAGGCGGGGAACAACTCAAGATGGGGGGCCAGCCCATCACAGGGCACATTCACACACCGTTCACTCACACATAGACACCTGTGGGCAATTTGCTAACTCCAATTAACCTCGACATATTTATGGACTCTGGGGGGGGGGAAATATAGTAACTAGAGGAAACCCTACGATGGCACGGGGAGAACATGCAAACTCCACACACAGGGAGCCATGGTGGGGACTCAAACCCTGGTCCCAAAGGTATGCGACAACAGTGCTTAGTACAGTTTAGTAGACACAATGGGTAATTTGGCTAAAAAAAAAACACTGTACATTGATAAACACTGTATGAGAGGTTCTAAAGCCCCTCTAAAATAGGCCTAACAATACCCTTGTGCAGTGCTATTGCACCATTGTGAAGCTGAAATATCTGAAGTCAATCATGAAGCAAGGAGCATCTGTACTGGCAAGTTATTGTTTGATTTGTATGCTGGCACTGCTGATCTAAGATGGGGAGACCGACGCCTGAAGGAAGAGTGGCGGCCAGGCACTGCTCCATTATGAATTTCTTAAAGATAAATTTGAGAACAAGAAAATTTAAAAGGACTTTTAAGAAACAGAACTAAGGAAACAGTACGAAACAATGGATGAAATACAAAACTAGCCCTTCTTAGACACTCAGTCACCTCGATCTGGGCCTTAATTACATTCTAAAAACACATTAGAGCAGTTGTGAAATAAGTGAGAATGATTACCTTTTAAACACACAACTAAACTGAAACCCAAGTAATTAAACGACCAGTATGGCTATTGCATTATTTGTAACTGTATATTGAATTTCAGAGCCCCAAGCAGCATGTCAGCATATCATGTGATTTAACTGGGAAAAAAAACTTTAAAACGAATCTGTGCTCGTTAAATCCTGTATGCCCATGTGTATAATTTGTCAGACATGTATTCTGATTTCGGCCATAGGGTTGTGGTTTTGAAAAACACCTGCCTTATTCATTAACTTGCATGAAGGTCCCAGACCATTCGGGCTATGAGGACAACCCTGGGAGTGATTTCCTTATTGGGAATCTGATCCATCTCCGCCACCTTCAGCTAATCCACCTATTACCTGCCACTGCCCGGGCCGTGAACAGCAATATCAGGCTAAACGCAGGGTGGCCTTGGCATGTGGTAGAACTGCAGCGTTTCTGAGACGACACACATCGAATATATGGTTTCCCAGCTTGCGCAGAGAAAAGTTGAGTATGGAGGTTTTCAAAACCACAAAATACAAATAACTTGTCAGACGATGCCACATCAGAAATGAAGCTGCCTTCCAGACTTGTAGAGTCATGGATCTGGTCCCAGCTTTAGAAGTCTAGTTTTTTTGGGAAAAAACAATATTTGACACGCAAGAACACATTAGACATTCATAAAAAGGAACAGGAACACTTAGGCCAAGTGGATTAATTAGCATCATGTTATACTCATTATACTCTAATGATTCAAAAAACAGC